TTTTTACAAAGGCCAATAAAAGCCATCATACTGCCATTTCCTGCAGTTGTGTTAAGGTGTCAGCAAAGGAACTAATTTGGACCCATCATATTTCTGCCTTTTTCATGGATATGTCAAAAAATATTTATATCAAATTATAATGATAACATATCTAAACTTTACCTTTGGCACATTGTCAAGGTCTTTGCTATCTGTAATAACTTACGTAATGTCTCAAAACATTTTTTTTACAAACAGTAGCAACTTGCTACACAACTTTGGAATACACAGTGAGTATTTCAGAAACAGGACAGAGTCATTTTTAGGTATTTTCATTGCAGCTTTGAGTTCCAGTGTTAACACCACCATCCACTACAAACCTACCGACTCTTATCTACAACACAACTTCACACACTCAAGGATCTCCAGAGACTCAATTGTTTATTCTCTACATATGAGTCTCAGAAGTATTTTTGAAGCGATGGTCAAGATTTTCTTAACAAAGGTGAAGAAATGTGTGGGTGTTTGGAAAATTGTTATTTTTCCACAGGAGATATGTTTTTATGGCTGAATCCAAAGGCATCAATCATAGATGGAATGCTGTATAGAACAGTAAGAAACAACACCATTCCTCGGGTGCTATGAGATTTCTTCTGGGAAGCTTTTAATGGGCACTTTTCAATACAGTATACCTGGTTGCAGCACCTGTCAATATATAAATTACTACACAGAGAACAGAGGTCTTAAATCATCAGTCAACAATCCCCTAGGTACACACCAACAGGACTAGTATACTGCATTGTCTGCAAAAATGCACCTAATAAAACATCAGATAAATTGAAAGATGATTAGCTGACTCCTTTATGGAACACATAGTTTATGATAAATTCAAAATTAATACCGCAGCTTTTCCAGTTTCTTGACACCTCCAAAGCAATAATCACACTGACAAAGATATCACCATCTACGGATTGAATTGGTATTACGGGCCATGGGGTTTTTCTAACAAAATGATCAAAACCCCTTCAAATAGCAGACATTGCAGCCACTACAAATGAAATGTCTGCATCATTACAACATCATACCCAGGAGTTTTGAGCAACACGCTTTCTGCAGTGAACTGTTCTGAAATAAATAATTTTAAACATCTGACAAGGAACACATTTCAGGGTTATGATTTTAAGGCATGTTTTTAAGAGATGTTTTTAGGGCAGGAATTTGCTATGATTTTGGGAATCGATATCACTTAGATCTTTCCACAGGGAAAGACTTGTATGCACATTTGACAATTATGAATGCATTTCATGTAATGCACTTTATCACAAGTATAACAGGCCATGTCAGTGAGTCACTATTCACTTTGATTTACTTTTTCCATGCTCAGTGGTTTTTGATTTGTTTGTGGAGGAGGTATTTGTAAGACCTTTAAGTTGATTGCATGCTGCAGTTGTGACTCTCAGTCCATGGCTTTGTCTTCCTGCTTATTTTATACAACAGACTAAATATAGCCAGACCTCAGACACCTGACTAGTCCCATTTCCTGTGTGGATGTAGAATTTGTGTCTGTTTCAGCTTCTGTGTATCCAGTGCCCAGTAGTCCTTTCATAAATCTGCTATACTATGCGTGTGAATTGTTCATATTGTCGTGTATTAGAATTGCTCAATTTGCAGCGAGCTCTGATGGGTTAAATAATCTGGTATCCTGTCATTTCAGTTACTTGTGACAATTCTGTCTTATGGTATGTGCTCCAGCTGAGCTCTGAATTACTTATTTGACCTAATGATTATACCAATTACAGCTCTGAAGATATAGGGGATCCAAATGACCTGCTATACATCTTTGTATATTTTTTAAAATCTGTAACCTTTAAGGAATCGAGGATATGATTAAAATTATTGAGAGTTTCAGTATGAAACTCTCCCCCCCAGCCTGGCCAGATCAGAAGATGAATCAGCCGTTTGTCATGGTTTAAGCTGTGTGAGTGAGCCTGGTGCTCGTTTACAGATTTCAAGCAGGTAAATTACATCTAAAATACTTCCCATTGATTCTGTAAGGGTCTCAAAACTTCACACGGGCACAAACAATCCCTAGGATTTCTTGAGTGCTGGTTAAGGGTGGTTGGGGTGTTAGGAATGTCACTGCTGGTGTAGAGATGACACAGAGGAAGAAAGAGCGAGGCTCTGACTATTTTAAGTACTGCCACCAGTGAAACTGCAAAGGAAACAGAGTTGCTTGCAGTTTGGAATTAAATGCTTTTTATCAGGGGGTCTCAAACATGTGGCATCTAAGTGTCATGGCTCCTAAGGCCAAAGGGCTGCTGCTAGATGGGAATTTCACCTACTTGAGTTGGAAAGGTGCCATTTAAATCCATGATCATTTTAAACATAAAGAAGAAGAACCTGCTGTCTGCAAGAGAATTCAAAGCAAGTTCTCTTTTTCCACATGCTAATTAAACAGTAAGAAATCATGCTGCTAGCAGAGTGGACTGTACAACACAAGCTGTATGCTGTGTTGTTGCATTCATTCCTAGGTGCTCTAATTCATTCCATCTACAAACTTGTGCAAAATTAGCTCCTGAAAACTCTGCCTTTGGCCCACAGCCGGTCCTGTTTTTTTCCTAGTGGACCAATTAGAAAGGTGGATAAAACTGTAACCATTGCATCTGACGTTTGACACAGTTATATAGGTTATGGTAGATAAAGGGGAAGCTCATCAAAGAGACTGGGAGAGCTCACACAAGAGGAAGTAAATGTGATGATGTGGCATATCCCTTATCAATGTTTTCTGTGCTATACTGTATAAATCATAGTCATAAGGAAAGCATGGTAAGTCATACAGAAGTAAACAGCAGGGCCTGATGCACAGTGTTGAATGCCCTGACAAAGCAAAATAGATGAATGGAATGGGCTTGGAGTAACCTTTGGAACAATGTTCTATGCTCCCTTTTCCCTTAAGGGTTATAGGAGTAAGGGACAAGCTACCCAGTCATGTGGTTGAAGCCAGTACCCTGTCTTGTTTCAAGAAACAGCTAGATGAGTTCCTTGGATAAATGAACTACTAACTCTCAGACGGTCTAAATGGGGCTGAATGGCCTCTTCTTGTTTGTTCCCCATTTATTCTTAAATAGAGAAATGCAAGGCAGGCTTGTCCGGGTGAAGATATGGGCAGTCTGCTCGAATACGTTCTCGCCTGTCTCCGTGGGAGTTCTTTATTATGGAAAAACTGCCGCAATCCTCCAGACATGTTTGTAAACATTGGCTGGCATTTCGCAGGGCGGACTGGGAAAAACAAACAAATGACCTGTTTACGCGACGTAGGCAGGTCTAATTGAATCACAGCTGGGAACAACTGTGAGTTCTGCGCGTGCACACATGCTAACTTCCCATCTCTGCGGATTGAATTCGGAAAGTTTCTATAATCCAATTAATAGCTCAACAACTGAACATAATGACTTAACTCCACCAAGGGCGTGTGGCATGCTTCCCCTGGTTGAACACGCAGTCCCTTGTTTTCCAAATTCACTTAGGCAGCAGATGATGCCGATGGCCTCTGACTTTGGCTGGTGGGTATTTCGGAACAGCCTGAATGCAGACACTCAGCAAGCAGAAGCTCAGATTGGAGGCACCCTGTTATGGAATATCAATTGGTTTCATTCACTAATCAAGCAACCCTGGGGCTGTGCTTAATTATATCCTCAAACCCCATCTGAAAGACTCTTTGCAACATCCTACATGAATCCTGTCAGCCTTCTGTCTGTTGTGTGTCCTATTTGTGAAATAATACTGCATTTCATCCCAAATTCCTTCTAACCCTGGGGGGCAATTTAGCACAACGTAACCTGAGAATAAGGTGGGGGCAAGCCCACACAGAAATTAGGAAGAAATTGACATTTGTTTATTTGTCTGTTGCCTTGTTCCACTGTCACTGACATTTTCCACAGTCATTCCATTTATATAGCTGGAAATTTTACTGGCGCAATTTTGGATGAGAAACTTTGCTCATGGGTACAATGTCCCACCCGGGATGTAAGCCCCCACCCTCTCAGTCATGAGTCCAGAACCTTAACCTGGTAACCACACTGGTACCTCCAACTCTCATCTTAGTGTTGGTGGGCAGTGGGCTTGCTTGCTTTCATTGTAGAAATCTTAAGCTAATATTTGTTCGTTTTTTTCAGTCAAATCTTCCCCACTGTGAATGTAATGATTTGTTTTTTGCTAACCTAGCAACCCTCAGATGAAAGAAAACTTTTCCTGGCATTAAAATCAAAATCTTATATTATACTGTTTTGAAAATGATTCTCATTTCACGGGAGCAGTTAATTCATGTTTTAAGTACCTTATGAAAAATTAACCAATCCATGGGAGCAGAAATCTAGTTTTTGGCTGATGACATGAGAACATTCTAAATTGAAAGGAGAAATAATGCCCCATTTTAATTTTTGTACACCAATTTCAGGGTGCTGTTTTTTCATCAAGGGAACATATTCTCATTTTCAGATGAATCTTAAATTTTGCCTTACCCCATAGGATGAAACATTTTGCTTGAATTATAGTAAAAGAAATTTCTACTTTGTTTTGAACGTGTTATTTTGTTGTAAACGAGCAATAGCAAATAAGGTGGCTGGCTGTCAGACCGTAATGACATAAGGATACATGCAGGCAGAGATTTAAGCATCCAACTTCACCTGTTGGATTATGTTAGCAATTTAGTGACAGGGAATAAAAGAGTTAAAATGAGAGGAGGACAACTGGACTGCTGGGTTTGTTCAGTTTGGGCTATTCAAAAGCGAATCAGTCCTAAATATTGCCATTATATATTTTTATATACCCACTAAGTTAGTTATCACCAGTTGTTTCTGTTGTGACACCAGGAGACCACAGAAAGAGATGAAATACAATAGACTGGTTAAGGGTGGTTGGGGTGTTAGGAATGTCAGAATATTTTTACGCGAATCGGCGACGAAAAAAAAGAAAGAAAATTCAAATAAAGAAGGACATTTCAAATCTGGCGCGGCACTCACCTGTGCTACGCTTTGGGGACTGGTCACAGAGCCTGTAGCACGCCGGTGCTTCTTTATCGTGCGAGATCAGTCTCAATAAACCGAAAACAAGTGCGGAGGGGAGAGGCAAGTCATGAAAAGCTCGGACGGCGGTGACCAATTCGGCGCATATGTTTGGCAAGAGTGAGTCTTCGATTCCTACAATTGAAGGCAGAGGAGGCTGTGGGATCTGTTCTCTACTCTGTATCTGCTGTGTTACTGTTTTCATAATACTTTAAACTACTTGCAGGCAGATACTAATACACTTGTGATTGATGTTACTTGTCGGAGGGTCTATGGGGGGTGTTTGGATTATATGTGATTTTAGGTTATACGCGCTATGTCAGGATCCCTAACTACTGCGTAAAACGGGAATCTGCTGCACAGGAGTGCTTTCTGTTTTCTCACACTGTATTCACATTTTGTTTCTGAGTTGGACGCGATCCTTTGTGTTGAACATCCAGGTCTCCGTTTTCCGTTTTACTACACGTTCATTTGACACCAGGCCTTTGCAGTTTGCAAACCGACTGAAGCCAGAAGGTGTCAGCTGAGCAAGTTGTGATGAGCCGTCAGTACTGGCCCCTTCCAGTTAAGAATGAAAGAACAGATACTAGCGAGTGGAGGCCTTTTAGTGCATCCAGCTGCTACAGTTCCTGGTAGATTGATCTGAGTATCCATCTGCTTCTTGAAAGAAGCCAGGGTATCAGCTTTAACAATGTGGCTGGGTCGCTTATTAATATCAATTCTCAGTATTTCTAACACTCTGCTGACAGGTCTTGAACTATCATTGACTTTGGTTCTAGTTTGCCTCTGCAATGTTATGATACCCCCGACATCAGAACTACTCAGATTATAATTTATTGATAATCATAAACCATAGTTCCTTGCAGTTTTTAAATCTAGGTTGAATGGCGGCATTCTGGGAGTCCTAATGACTTATTAAAGTGAGATTGAAGTCTTTAACAGGGGCCCCAGTATTCTTTGCTTGGTCAGACTTAGACTCATGTAAAATACTTTTTCTTGTTTTGATCTTTGTTTATTTTTATGTTTTGAACTTTATTCAGTCTTTCATAATTGGATAGCTTGATTTAAAAAAAAAAGCTGGTCATGCGATATGCATGTAACCGTGAAGTTCAGCAGATTTCTCATGCTGTACCACATGATCAGCATTCAGAGGTGTCTTTCATTGCTGTTGGTACCTCATTTGGGTTGTGGAATGTTTTATGCTCTGTTAAAGCTCATAGTGCACAGCTTCAGTTTATTAGTCATCAACGAATCTTGACGTAGCCCTTGATTTTTAAAAGTTGTTAAAAGGTTTATTAATGGATGAGTTATGTTTTCTTCAGCATTACCTATTTCTTTAGATTTCCTAAGATAATTTGCTATTCATACGTTTCATTTAAGATAACCTACAATTGGGTAAATCTTTATTTTTATATTGCAAAGCCCTGATCGGTGGTGCAGATTTCATTTTAATTTCAGTTTCTAGTTTTGATTTCCTTCTTCATTAGTAAAGCTTTTGAGTCATGAGCGGACCAGGCTGCCCATTCTAGTGGTCTTTTTGTTAGTTGCTCATTCTTCCAAAAACCTGGCTGAGATGTTCCTTTGAAGGCTCCTGGAGGAACCCTATCTGCAACATTCCTCGCATGTTTGTTCCATAAAACCACACCTCTTTGTTTCAGGAAGTGACTCCCACTCCTTGTTCCGAATCTGCTTGCGCTACATTTCAGTTTTCGCCCTCTGCTCATCTGTGGCGCGAAGTGTGAAGAATAATGTGCCAGCTCTCTGGGAGACTCTGGAACCAATAGTCCTGATTTCTTTTTTGGTACAAGACTAAAAGCGACTCATGTTATCTGAACATTTCCTTTACTTCAGTTCTGGCGCTGTACTGGATGTATCAACTGGTTTACTTTAAGGTTTAGTTTAATGACCTTTATTTTATATAGCACCTTTCATTATTAAAGTGTGACACTCAAAACTAGATTGTCTAGTTTTTACATTAAACATGATACAAAATGCTCATTCCAGACACACTGTAGACCCTTTTAATTACTTTGTCACATTGTCTGCTTGCAGATGTGGGTGACAACAGATACTGCTTTCTTTGAAAATGTGAGCCCCCTGGTTAATAAAAGAAAAAAGTCCCCTCTAGACACTTAGGAGACTGGCTGTGCTTGTGTTGTGTTGGGGGTGGGGTTACTGACCGGAGGAGCAGGGCTCAGCTCTTCAGTGGCAGAAGGGATTAGTAACCTGATGAACAAAGCATCAAAGGTGATCTGTGGAAGGAGGAATGAGAGAAAGATGCTTTCAAATGAGCAACTGAAGTAACAACAGCTGTTTTGAATAGAATCTGTGCAGAATTCCAAGCCGGAACTTGAACAGAAAACCTACACAAGCATGGAAAGGGAGCCTTTATATAATACGCCGCTTGTCTCCTACCACATCTTGATACATCTTGATATGTGTTACTGGGCCCAGTGGTCTAGATCTATGTGTTTAGATAATCATTCCATTCGAAGAAGCCTCTCAAAGCTCTTTGTCAAAATGATGCCGTCGTGATCCGGTCAGTGTTCCACAAAAGTGAGAACAATTTCAACAGTAACGCAGTGAGAAGATTTTGGTTTGGTAGTTTGCTGTGCTGCCTCATCACAGAGGCCCTGGGTTTGATTCTGTTATGCTTTGCCTTCTGAGCGGAGCTTGCACGTTCTCACTGTATTCAGCTTCTTCCTACCTCCCAAAAGCATTATAAACACATTTAAATAATATGTCTAAATTGTCCCTGTGTGAACTGGTGTCCCATCCAGGGCATAGTGCATAGTACCTGGGCATCTTGTGCCCTGTGCTTCCAGAATAAGCCTTCCTGTGTTCCCATGAACCTCCTTCCAGTATTTCGTCTAAGAACTGATTATTCTTGTCTACTGTTAATTGCAGGAGTAACAGCCATGGACATGACGCACTGCATTTTATCACCTCCCCTTTCTTCTTAAACAATCCCCTTCCTGTCAGTGCTTAGGTGCTAGAGGGCTTCACAACAAGCCCTTTTCTGTGGTTTAGCCTATTGTAGTATGTTTTTGAAACCTGACAATAGCTCACTTCACTGTCCTTTCAAAGCAGTTTTTATTCTTGCAGAGTAACATCTTGTAAAGCTTTTTAAGATGGTCCTCATAGCTCTTTAAGATGTTAATGAATTAATCAATTGACAAAGTAACGTTTTATGGTCATAAAATAAAGCAACAGGCCACTATTTGGCGGGTAATATGAACTGTGCTTCTTTAATGTTCTATTGGTACAGAAGCCTAATTGATTGCTATTGCAGTGAGTGACAAGTCTTTGGCTGATGCAATCAAAATTAAAAATTGCCAGGAGCTTGTTTTTTTTTAACACTAGAACACTTGTTGTAGAACATTGTGTCTTTGTCATGATAAAGCCTTGCAATTGTTATTTCCTCTTGCTGCAGATTTTGTTTTCTTTTACGCTGATTCAGTGTCATAACATTGAATGCTTTGGCCATTTTTAAACCTTGTCTATGCTTGGAATGAAGCCCAGATCCTGGTTCCAGAACACCTAAGAAAGAGACTAAAAAAGGGGGCCAATTTGCACTTTGTTCTTTAAATATTAACTCTCAAAAGGATGAAGGAGCCACTTTGTTTTGTTATAGTTCAAGGAGGTAGCTGAGTCAGCATGCGTAAGCTGCAAAGGAACATGTAAAGGTTTATTCCATGCTGAAAAGAGAAGAAAAGAATCACAATGTTTCGGCTGTGGAGCCTTTTTCGGGTGTGTGTTGTTTTGCTGTCAGATTTGAAAGAAAATACTGTCGGTCTCAAAGTTACCTTTTATTCATTTTTCTCTGGAATAGTGTATGCATTGCAGTGTGGTGCAGTGTAGACTATGCAATGATATCACATTCACTGTGTGTCTCCTACCTTGGATCTTGTTACTCCCATTTCCAGAATTACCTTGTTCCCTTAGTTTTACAATATTTTGCATTACTTATGGGAAACAGTTGGAATTTGTTAATCAGTTAAAAAGAATTAAATTATAGAACACTGGTCCTTGAGGACTGAAGGGTATTTAGATGTTGGTATTTGAATAATCTCTCCTTAGTTTAACAAATCACCGCTTAACCGTGGTCATTAAAGATTAATGATATAATGGAAGTCCATACAAGCTACTGGTCTGGGGTTTTTTGGGGATCAGGGCTGGAGGTTGGCACTGTAATACCCCAGGGTGACCTGAGAGGACTGGGGGGGCGCTGTCCTTCAGTTCTGGGCTGGTGAACTCCTGAAGTGACAATGGAGGTCATTCCTTCATCATCTTGTTAGCATCAGCAGCAGACCTGCCAGCGCCAGTGCTGCTCGCTTTAAGAGGGATGTGTGAAGTTCCCACATGAATAGAGGGGGAGATCTCGACGGAGGAAGGGGAGAAACGGACAGCGAAGGAGGGGGGCGCGAGGTGGGCTCCGCATGCTGGGACTGAGGAACTGGAAGGACAGAGAAAGCGGCGAGATAGGAAGGGAGGGGAAGATGGCTCATGCAGGGGGAAGGGAGATAACAAAAGGGAGCGCGGGTGCAGACGGAGATATTGATAGCACCCTCTCTGTCTCTCCCCTCCCCCTCGCACCCAGCACAAACCAGCACTGCGGATACAGTATGTGGCAAGGCACAGGCAGCAGTGTAGCGTGCCTGCTGGGCGCTCACTGACTGGTGCACACACACACACGGTCCCTGGCCAAGGGGAACACACTGTCGGCATGCCCTGCTAAGAAACACATCACCCAGTCCAGACTCATACACACAAATGCATGTGCATGGACCATTCTTGCACGTTCACAGTAACATTACCCTGGCACCCATGCCGATCCACTACCTGCTCTGTTCATCAAACATTAGCCATCTGCCAGGAAAAAGGAGGAGGAGGAGGAGGAGGGGCGGGGTGGCGAGGGGACGGACAAAGTCTGCCTTCTCATTGTATCTTTTTTTTTCCAAAAACAAAGGATCTGTTTAGCTGACACAGGGCCTGGAGCAGCTGAGCGAGGCAAGGAGGAGTTCTTACAGATTCTGGTCACTGAAACACAGACAGTGAGGGAGAAATGAAGAGAGAGGCAGCCTTCCTCCCTTTATCAGAAGGCACCCATTAAAAGACGCACTGTCTGGTAATTGGAGCAGCTGCCAGGCAGATTGTAAGGGCCTGAACAGGAAGCCAGACCCAGATGCTTAGCAACCACTGGGCTGGCATTGGCAACAGGCATGGTTGGTGACGAGTAATTCGTCAGTGGTGCTGCCATTGTTGATATAGCAAATGGCCAGGTCCCTTGTCTACATAACAAAGTGAGCATGCAGTTTTCTCTCATTCAGAAATACACGTGGACAGATAGTAGGTGTGATATTAGATATTGCTGGTTTCGGGACACGGATACTAACAATGACAGAACCTCCCAATGAGAGCACTAAGTGATTACTGCTTGGCAAGGGTGTGCACTCCACTCTCCTTGTTCCCAGTATCTGTTTTCATAAGCCACTGCGGGGAAAGAAATGTCTATTTAAATGACTTGAGCTGATCTTAATGGTGGACAACAGGGTTCATTTGGAAAACTTTGGAAAGCTGGATGGTGGATTCAGGACAGAGAAGCACTACATCATATCTTGATTTTGACTTTAAGGAGTTATTATTGGTTGCAGCTAGTCTCTTGTACTTACATTCTCAAAATTAACAAACATTGACATTGCATATTTGCTCTGAGAGAGCCTTAACACAATAAATTTATTTGATAAATGTTGATAAGAAAGTTTAAAGACAAAGAAAACTAATGCTGTTTCTGCACGCTATTCTACAATGATACCTAACTGCTAGAAACTGGAAATGTCTAACTTATACATTCCCTGTTTAACTGTATTTAATGAGTGGTGAGCAAGCAGAAATAAACAGTAAAACATTTTGCCAATAAGTGTTTTTATGCAAAAGCAGATTTTAGTTGGGGACATTAATTTGCTTTTAATTAACTTTTTTCATTGCTTTACATATCTTCATTAATAAAGTGTGAACTAGGATATTCCCTGCAACTATAAATCATTGTTTTAATTATGCGCCAACACTTTATTGTGCTTCCCTGCAATTTATCATACATAAACCTTTTTGTTGCTTTTCTGTTTATTTTAGCATTCACTACCTGAAATTGTGCATGCTTGCAGCACATTTGGCATTTTAGTTATGACATTTTCAATATCTTTTTTTTTAAAAAGCTTGCACCTGAAAATTGTCTGCAGTTGAATCTATACAGTATATCCGCTGTGCTTGGTAGCAGTGCAATCTTGTCGGTAAACTGCCAGCTGTGATCTGGTTATTCTTCTCTTTGAGCACAAATTGCCCTCGCTTTGCATGGCAATCTTGAAGAACCAGGTGGTTCATGTCAAAATCTTTACTGCAAAGATAAGAGAAGAGAACCCTAAACAGGGCGCCGAGCGTGTTCACCACTTCCTCGCAGGCTGGAAAAGAAAGACAAAAAGCAGGGGAAATGCTGTTCCTGTAAAGGAGGGACAGGAGTAATGGAGATATAAAGAGATGGGGATCTGTTGTGAGTCCTTGATGAATGGAGAGGATGGCTTCATTGTGGCCAGCGTGTGAGGCTGAGGGGAGTGCTGGGCAGTTCTCTGGTTGTGACGCTCCCAGTGCTTTCTCACAGCTCTCCAGCCCCTGCCCCACTGCGAGCAGAGCACCCTGGTGAAGGGAACCCCAGACGGGCTCTCCGCACACAGGCGGGCACGGAGGGGAAATGTCCACTGATTTAAGAACACAAGAAAGAGAGGATAATGATAATGAATAAATCCTTACACATATATAGTGCTTTTTTCTGGACACTCCACTCAAAGCGCTTTACAGGTAATGGGGTCTCCCCTCCACCACCACCAATGTGCAGCCCC